CAATCATTTCGAGTTGGAATATAGCTCCAAATATAGGATTTGATAGAGCAAGGTCAGCTCTACAAAACCCACTAACAAGGGGACTCCGCTAAGTGATTAGGAGATTTTGGATTAATATTTTGGCCATAGGTAGAACTTGGTGAGGCTAGAAAAAGACAAAAAGAATAAGCTTTCATAGACCTTCTTTCCAGAACTATGACCAGTTTACTGAATATCCGACTCATGCCAAGATATTTAGGGAACAATCGAATGACGAGCTTTTGACCTGAAATTTCGCCCATATGTAGGTTCGTGGCTCTTTGTATGCGCTAAAAGTTTCAACGAAAACGAATCTTTCTTTCTCGAGATAATGGATTCGACAGAAGTGTCCACATATCACAGAGAAAACGCTTTTTGCTATATATTCATTATTTCTAGAAAAAAAAAAGATCTATTTCCGCTGAAACTTTCAGCTCATACTAAGGACCACAGGACCTAGATAAGAGCGAAGTTTTAGGTCGAAATCTCGTCATTCGGTTTTTTCCTAAATATCTTAGCATGAGTCGGAAATTCAGTAAACTGGTCATAGTTGTGGAAAGAAGGCCTACGGGGTGCTTATCCTTTTGCGCCTTTATCTAGTCTCACCAGGTTCTACCTCTGGGTAAAATATCACTCCAAAAGCTTTTAAGCACTTGGTGGGGTTTCCTCGTAAGTGCCTTCTTCTTATTCTCATTTTGAAAGATTTTCTTCAGAAAAGACATTTATCTGAATTGAATGTGCTTATTCTCATAGACACCATAAAGATATGGATTCTAATTGTGTTCTACGACTTAAGTAGATAGCTAACGTATAGGCAACTATTCGTTATATGAGACAGAATACAAATGAAGACATGAAATGAAAGGAACGAATAAGTTATCGAAGAAGAGAGAAAAATTCTTTTTTTTATTTCTTGGTGAGGTAGACGGAAATATAAAACAGAACGAACGAATAATTGTGTCAAATATAGACGATTGATGAACTATATATTTCTATCTGGAGAGAGAAATAGAGATAAGGTGAGAAGTGACTAATTATTGAAACTTTGTGAAACAACTAAACTCGAACTTATCTTTTTCTTTTTTACAATTATAAATAACATAAACATAGACTAACTTAATTTTTTTCGTTGAACATGCACGTTACTAATACACATGTTTCCACATTTAAGAAAGAGAGTACAGCAAATGATTTTCGATATCGTAAATTTAAAAGAAGAGGAATAATCTATACAGTCAATATGATATCTAAACACATAATGTTGTTAGTGATAATCTCTACTTACCATATGAAGATTTGAGCGTCATTATTATCCTTTTGCTTGTTAATGTAGTGTACTATGTACAATCAAGTTAGAGTTGATTCTCTTAAACTTGCATTAAAATAAATGGAAGTTGAACAATATGATATTGAAATGTTCTTTTTAAAAACGCAATATAATATCTGCTACTAATAATCTAACTACGAAAAGTCATTTAATATGAGATTTGTTGCAGGTCTATCTTTATTCAGCATAGCAGTTTATGATAGTATGACTGGTGTAAATAAAAGAAAAGTTTGCTTTGTGCTTTTATCACATAGCAGCAAAGGATGGTATTCATTTTAACTATCTAGCGTACATTTGGAACATTGATAAGAAGGTTCACTCAGAATACGTCTAAAACCAATATGAAGACTTACTACGAGAAATGTTTTCAATTAAATTGTTACACTTCTAGATAGTTTAAGTTCGACTATTAGCAGTTGAAAGTGCTTTCTTCGTTTAAGATTCGCACACAGGTACCATAAGCAGTGTAGTTAATCTTTTACTTTTCATTAGTAACACATACACTTTGTAAGTATCAGTTACTTATCATTATATAATCAACAGTTAATTCCAACAATTATTACTTTCTAAAAAATGGGCAAACCGATTATTCATTACTGATTACTATGTGATTTTAATGTATTGGATCATATGTAGCTACAGTAGATTAATTCAACTAATTACTTACTATTCGCTAACAACAGCTGAGTAGTAATAACTGCTAGTGACTAGTAATTAGTATATGATAACGGCACTACTAACTGACAATGTAACAATTATATAATTTTTTCAAGTTACTACTTATATTTTAATAATCACAGTTTAATGGAAAAAAACACGATAATAGGGCGTCTTTAATGATAGCGGTCAGAATTTTGGCAGATAAACTGTTAAGAGGTGTTTAATATAACAATTTCGTCGATAAACACGTTTGTGATCGTTAAACGTCTTCTGGGCGCATACACGTCCAAGAAAACTTTTACTTCTACATTTACATTCGTACCGTACCATATTTTATTTTCTGCAACCAAGCTCTATCCCTCAGAGCAATCGAAAGATGATATGAATGGCTTCATAAAGGGTCGAGAAAAGGTTCAAGACTCAGTATGATCCGGTAGATCTGCAACCGAACAACATCTGAAAATATCAAACCGTTCTGTTTCCTTATTAAATATGATCCTTTTATTACATTGTCAGTCTTTGTTTTCAATCTCCACTCGTCCTTCATCAAACCATTCTTATTATCTTTCAACTGTTCTTAGAAGTAGAGCTTGGTCACTAAAATATACTGCAGTATGATGTTGCATGTAGAAGTAAGTTTTCCTGATCCATCTACAGCATAGATGAACAACATAGATCAAGCTTCTAATACAATCATAACAATTGAAGTATGGCGAAATATCATACAATTATATAGTTTTGTAAGGACAAAATATCTTCATGTACATATATTAGGGATCGCGTAAGTGTGGACAAAAGGCAAAACAGATAACAACATGAAAAACTATTTTTACGTAAATGCTGCTTCCTGACAAGCTCTTTGTAGTTTACTGAAAATCTTGAAATATTCCAGCAAATCTAGCGAATCCTGAATTTCCGAATTTTTTTTTTTTTATTTTTTTTGTCTGTTGTTCAGAGTAACATGATAATGCAAGATCTTTCTTTTTATTAAATATAAGATACATTTCACATTTTCTGATATTCTAAACCATATGCCGATTTCTTACTATGCTGCGACCTATTAATATTCGTCACCACATAGGACTCTTGATCATCTTTAAACATTTGGAAGATTTCAATTTTCTTAATTATTCAAAACAAACATCGAGTTCTTTTTTTCTGCTATATATTTTACTCCCATTAAATAATTAATGCACAAAAAATACTTTTTTTTTCATAAATTCTGTCGCTATTGTCCAGTTAAACTAAGCCATATTTTAACAAAGTACATTTTGAGCAAATTGATCTTTATAATTTCCTCTTGGATAATAGTTAGCGACAAAGATCACACCCCCAGTGGGTGCATTGCATACACCTAAACCAAAAAATTTTGTACTTCTCCAAACAACTTGTGTAAAATGTAAAGCATTTGTTGGATCTGTTACAGTATATTTCGGTTTTTCACTAAACCAAGTTATGACAGGTGTTGCACCTAGAATGAAAAAAAATATTTATTATACTTCAATTGGTTTTTATTTTCATTCTAACAAACCACTATCATTATTAAAATCGAATGGAGTTTTTTTATAACTATTTTCACCATATTCTATTGTACCACTATGATTAAATTGATTTGTTGCTGCTAGTTGTTCACACCAATTTTGAGCTATTTGATCGAGTGTTGCATTTTTTTGTAAATCACCAGCCTTACATTGTGCTCGATATATATTATGTTGAGCTATAGCTTCTTGACGATATCGATCTACGTCAAGACCTTAAATTTAAAAAAAAAATAATAAATACGAATAGTTGATACACAAAATAAAGCTTTATTTAATTTATACTTTCAACTTGTTTATTACAGATGACTACTAATAGATAAATGAACAATAAAGAAAAATATTTCAACGTTGACATGGTTTATCGATGGTTTAAGAGAAAAGGTAATAAATGATAAAAGTTTACCTTTTAATACAATGTTGATATGGATTGAAAATGAAACAAATCTGGTTGTAATTTATTTTATTCTTACTGCTAACAAAAAACAACATATTTTTTTTCTGGCCAATAAATGGATCATCTGTGCCTCATACATTTCGATTCTATTGATGTGAAAATGAAATAGATAGCAGATGGATTTGGTTCTTTTTGTTCTTAGAAAGTATATAATGCAAGTGTAAACAGAAAAATTTAATTATAGAATTTAATCCTGTATTCTTAATTAACAAATCTTACATACGATATTTTCTCTTATGACGATAATTCTCCAACTCAGGCGAGGCTATATGCATCATTTAGACTCTAATGAACTATGAGTACCTTGAAAAGAATTCGTGTTCTTAAATTATTGCTGCGGCAATACTGTGTTTTGACTGTACTTTTTAAAATAAATGCTGTGATAACAGAAAATATGATTTTCGACTTTTCATTTGAAATTTTGCATAGAGACAGTCCTTAACGAAAATAGTTTTTTGTGAATGTTTCTTACCTTGTCACTGTTTCGATCCTAGGAGTCGATTGAAACTTGATCGATTCATACTTTTAATGTTGATCATAGAACAACTATGATGAATTAGAGCATCATTGTTCATCATTCTTAACATCTGGAATATGAATTGGTATCTGGAGAAAAATAAAAAACTGCACTATTTAGAATAATCACAAGCATTTTCCACCTATTCAAGTTTCACTGAAGGCATTGAAATATTCTAGCACAATTAAAGTCTTGTAGTTAATGCCGTTCAGCACCCTTTTTTTATTGCTAATGAACTCTGAGAAAGGAATCTGATGCTTGTAGTCCTCGATTGCTAAGGTCTGCACTGAGAGAGGGGAGAGGTGCAAAGCTTCTACTTAAAACTTTCACTCACTATTTTCTACAGAATATCGTAGAAACGCAGTATCTCTGCAGCAATAATCTACGAGCATAAATCATTTCAGAGTACTCACAACGCACATAGTCTGGATTCCACTGAAGGACTTCCCTTGTTCGACCAACAATGAAGTACACTTATTTTTTACTGAAAATCACTTTGTCCGACTTCGAATGATATTAGCACTCACTATTCCAATCATTGAATAATCTGTTCACGTTTTCCGTAAGAAAAATTCATGTACGTTTAGACACGTTCGTATTTTTATTGTATTATTTGTCTCAATATTATGATCGTTTATCTCCGTGACTTTATACGACGCGGAGGTATACAGTCATAATCCTAAATCATACATATTGTCGTATTTATATGTATATGGTCGTTTATGACTGTGCTTATTTAGCCTGATAAATAGATGCAAACTATTATTGGTGTGACAATCAATTCCCTAACTATAGACATTTTGAAGAATCACTAAAATTTTATTTCTTCAAAATAAAAAACATAAATGATACAAGCGTTTTGCAATGCAAAAAAAAAGTATTGCATCATTTTATTATAATTGTTCATCTATTGAATACTACTTAATTAGCATTGTTCGATTCCATATGTTTTATGAAGATCGTCAAAAACCTATGAGCCGAAAATAATGGAATACAAACATCTAGATTTTCTTACTAAAAATCAGCGATAAAATCTCATTTCTATGAATTCATGTTACATTAATCAATTTTTTTTTACAAATATTTCAACGAAATTTAAACTGTGACTGTTATTCTAAATGATGATTAAAGAATCATTAAACCCGTAGTGTTTTGTTACATTCATAAAGACCAATTTTTTTCATCATATACTATATGAGATAAAATACTTTTTAATGAAACTAGTTTATTGTTAATGAATTTATTATTGCTATACATTCTATAATAAAAAACTAAATAATAATTGAAATACATACAAAGGCAGACGATGAATAACAGATAATTCAATTTCTACGTCAGTTACTAATCAGTATCCTTTTCAGATTGTAATTTTTCTTTACTGTCGTTCAGTCTTTTTAAACGATGAAGTAAAAGTTGTTTTGCTAAGCAAAACGTTTGTCTTCTTTAGCGTTCTACGATGCAGCAATTAAACTTTTTTCTGTCATTGCTCTTTTATTTTCACTTGAAACTTTAAGAAAAATATACAAAATAGCCAATATAAAATAATTACAACGAAAAATTCATATAATTTATCGTGAAAACTAGAAAAAGCAATATCGTAGTTATGCTAAAACCTTGATATGTTTATCTAGAAGAAACAAGAAAAAAACTAGTAATAGAATTAATCTATTGACATTTAAAATACTCACAGATTATTTTTATGCACTGTCGTCTTATGTATCACCTGAAATTAATAATTTTCGTATCGATATCCATTGTTTTGACAATATATTTTTTAAATCGTATTAGTTTTTCAAATTAAGAGCAACGTCAATTTGTGGTTAGAAAACTAACTACAATTCGATTCTCTAATAGGTCAACAAATATAATTTTTTTCTGATATATGCATTTATCCGATAATGAACGGCATACATTCCATATGTTATCTAAAAAGATATTTTTTATTCACATCAGCAAGAAAACAAACTATTAAATTATTATTGTATTCAAATGAACCAGCAATGAACAGACATTTAATATGTGGACATCTATATATAGACATCATTTGACATTTGTTTTGAATTTCAGACAAAAATCTTATCGAATTCATCAAAAAAAAAGCAAAAACTCGTAGAGACATAAATATTTTGAAAAATTCATCTATTGAACTAATGGGACAAATAAACGATATTATTGCTCCTTGTTTTTTCTCATTCAGGTAATTTTCTAATTAATATATCATACGTTTCATAATAAACTAGCGCTCAGTGAATAAGCAATGTACTGTTAAAATCGATACTCAATAAATAATGGTATTTGGTTGATAAATACATTATAACACAGAAAAATATACTCAAATCATGATTTAAATTTGAAAAGAAAAATTTATTATTTATTTCTCAATATGAAATATATATGTATTTCTTTATTCATATCCTGGATTCTACTATTTTATGTGATTGTGTTTATCATCATCAATTGTTGTTAAATCACGAATTATTAGTAGAAAAGCAGCAACACATCGTGCTTGAGAATGAATGATCTTGTTATAAAAATCAGGAAGACACGTATGTGATGCATTGCTAAATATGCTTGAACAGAAGCTTATGCTATTCATGGAAATACAATTAGAACAAAATTATTAATGCTTTTTGGAACGAATTATTTAACGAACACACAAAAAAAAACAAGAACTCAACGTAGCTATTGTTCATTTTTCATTATTATCAATATCATAAAATTCAATTTTAAGCTTTACGTCTTTACTAAAAATCAAATAAAGATCTTGTGACAAATGATTCTAATTGTTTAGCTATCATTTAAGATTGAACATATAAATACCATCTCAAGACATCTGATCATCCTCAACAACACACAATATAGGTACTTTTATGAATATCAAACGAACACCGATAAAAAATACAATTTTATAAATATATGCTAATTTTATTAATGGAAATGACTATTTTTTCTTCAAAACAAGAATATAATATTTTTATTCATTTTTGCTTCGTAGATACATGCTAAGATAGTAGGGTTGATTCACTTATGCCCTTTGTTAATAATAGATAGGCATGTGTAGGATTAATATAAACTGATCTTAATTGTACTTGAGCTAGCTATTCAGGATTATACATGTGAATTCCTGCTTTTATATCTTATATTTAATATGTAATTAATTTTATAAAACTAACAGCAGCAGATAACTACGTATGACATTGATTGGATTTGTAAGAACACATCCATTGATTTTAACTTTCTCAAGTCATGAAAAATTTTCATTCAAATATCCAAGAATAAGATAAAAACATCTTTTGATTTTAAAGTCATGAATTAGGATGATCGCACAAAAATATATTTCTTTTCTTTCTCAACTGATCGAATATAAATCAACGTCAACCGCTAATCAATGAAGTCATAGTTGGCTATATAAACAAGGATAAACGAAACAAGAATCAATGTTTCAATTACACGACTACTATCAGCAAAGAAGTTCATACACAAATGATGCCATCAAATCAATTATTATATATTTATTTAGAATGTCTAATATGAATCGTTTCTTATTCGACTGAAGTTTATCAAAGACTGGAGATCATTTAGTATGTTCATTGTGACGATAAAAATGATGGAAGGGAAGATAGTGTGGATGGAGTTACACTTTATTTCATTCCTTCATATCATACAATCGTATCGTTTATATATAAAGCACACGCTTATATACACGAGTAGAATAAGAGATGATGAAGAGAAAGGAGATGGGGCCAAGGAGAGAGCAGGTATAGAAGAGCAATAGAGACAGGACAGCAGCGTAAGAATAGACAGATGAGGACAATATATAGCATCGACGAGTGATTGATGATACAAAATGAGAAGCACATTACGATAGAAAGAGAATGAGGCTCAATCATGCATAGATAAACGTGAGAGTAACGCGATTATGAACACTTTGTAACACCGATTGTATAGCAACATACTGAAAAAGAAAAGATATCACATAAAATGATATGCCCATTGGCACATTCATCTTTTTATTATGTACCTGTCGAACCAAAAATATATTCCATTTGGTTATTGATATTGTTTCTCTTGTCTTGAAAAAAACCAAAAAGTACATTTTTCTCAATTGAATTTTTTCTTTTTTGAAATAGTCTTTTTTTCTCTGTTCAAAACTAAACAATCAACTATATATGTTATAAAATGATTGTGATCAAATAATTATGAACGACGAAGTGAATTAAAAAAATTTACAAAAAAGCAAAACTGATTTATAAATTATTCTTTCGTTTCGATTTATTCAGAATTCGATAATATATATGATTCAGTACGTTTGAAAAATATTGCTTGTTATAATCAATCATATGGATATTGATACATAGGAAATTATCTAACATATACAGAAAATGTTCTAGAATAATTTGAATTATTTAACACCGTTTACTGATCGACTTTTGTATAAACAACATCGTTGAATTTGTTGAAAGGCTTTTGTTTCATATTCAGTTCAAAAACTTTGACTGTGATGTTAAGGTATAAAGTTTTGTTAAATCTTAATATAAATAAAAATTCATTGAATTAGGTGGTCATAAGATTTTAACGGACAAGCTTTTTTTATTTTTTTGCATGAACAACAATAGTAATAGGGTTTAGATTGAATTCCACATATGATTTACTTCCACTAAAAATCTACTTAAATGAATGTGTGAATAGAAAATGTCATTCGGCAATAGATTTTAACTATCTAAAGATAAGTCAATATTATGAAAAAGTTTTATGTATGCATTTAATGAAGCATAGTACTTAACGTTTTTTAATGTATTTTAAAAGAAAGATAAAGGTCTTTTTTTTTCAATCATGATCTTTCACTAAGATGTGATATTCATAAAAATATCTATACTCAGAAGTAAAGTTTAGAAAAAATTTGGTTCATTCGTTCATGAAAAATGTCATATGCTGAATAATATTTATTGTCTAACGGTAACAAGAGTTAGTTAATAAAACTTGAATCGATCTGACTCTCAAGTGTTTGATTTGAATACTATATACCTAATGATGACCGTAAAAAAATACATCATATTTTCTAAACTTCAC